CCGATACAGGACGTAGGTCTCACACCTCAGTGCATTGGAAAAATTTCGTGTTTGTTTGATGTGTGAGGCCATGGATTAATTTGGGAGTTGGGAGATTTTGATATCAACTTGGGGTTTGGAAGGATTTGCAAGTCTTATTTGGGAGAGCATTTGGTTGATTTGATTAATCCTACGTCTTTAGGGTTTGAAAAATCAGCGCAAAGTAGCCATTTATGTTTGTTAGGAAAGACCTTGGGCCCTACTTTTTCAGGTCTTTTCGATAGGAGTTTTGAAAACTTATCTATTCTCCTTTTCGGTGTTTTAGATGGGTCAATGCCTCCTCTCTCTCACCCCATTTTTTTTATTTTCTTTTCTTGCTTCTTGGCCCAGTTTTTGACGCTTATGTCCGACGCATAAGTGTCAATGTATAACATTTTGCTATACGTGAAACCATCAAGTAAAGTCGCAAGTAGTTTGTTTTGGGACGTAGGGTGGTGATGATAAAGACACACTGAATATAGAGCAGAAAAATGCCCTATCCTATAACATCAAGGTTCAGGTATTTGATGAACAATAGGATAACGATATCCTTCACCGACATAAGTCTAGCGGGAGTTGGCTCGAACCTCCTTAGGTAGTTGGCAGTCCCACGCCCGACAGCGTAATCGACTCGTGGACAATAAAAACTGTTAAAACTTATTTAAAAAAAAAGGTAAAAATATATTTTTCGCTATAAAAAAAATAAAAATTTGATAATATTTTTTTTAAGGCCTATGTACATGTTAAAAACATAAATTTTAAAATAAAATTGATTGTCCACCTGACGAATACCTGTTTAGGCTAGGAAGTAGCCCTCTAGGTGAGTTTCAAGACACACTTCTAGACGAGTGGCGAGTTCTATACATTCGGGTGACCGAGTAGCCTTCGTGGACCCTCGAGTATATATATCAAGACACGCTTCTAGACGAGTGGCGGGTTCTATACATTCGGGTGACCGAGTAGCATTCGTGGACCCTCGAGTATATATATATGTATATATCTGAGCCTAGCCCCACATGAGTGCTTGCAGTCCCCCTTACCCGAACCTTTTTTTGTTGTTTTATCGAAGCTTTAAGACAGGGCACTCGTGTTTCTTTTCTTTTCTTTTGGGATTTCTCCAAGATTTTTGAGAGTTTTTACTTGAGTCTTTTCTCGTTGATTTTCTCGAGTTTCCTGTCATGAGTCGTTGTTACACTTTTCTTTGGATTTTCTGGATGACGTTTTTTCTAGACTTCGCTTTTTGCGATGCATTTCAACTTGCTATATTTAAGAAACAACGGATCTCACGGGCATACAAGTTTGTTTTACATTTACAACACTTCATTTCCCTGTTTATACATGCTACTGTCCTGTACAACATGTTATACTATTCTTGTTTCTACCTGCTACTGTTCTTCCCGTACAACATGTTATACTATTACTGTTTCTACCTGCTACTGTTCTTCCTATACAACATGTTGTACTATTCATGTTTTTACCTGCTACTGTACTGTACAACATGTTCTTGTTTCTACCTGCTACCGTTCTACATGCATCTTACTGTTTGTCCAGTACTGCACATTTTATATTATATAGCATTAAGCATGCATTCTTTTTATATAGGATGTTTAGAGGACTATTACCATAGGGTCGTTTGATTTAACATCATAACTGGACACCCTAGAAAACTTGAACTCATGAATTTTCTTGGCTTTACCTCACTTGGGCCGAGGAGCTTGGTAGCTGTCTTCCTTTCTCTACCGATACAGGACGTAGGTCTCACACCTCAGTGCATTGGAAAAATTTCGTGTTTGTTTGATGTGTGAGGCCATGGATTAATTTGGGAGTTGGGAGATTTTGATATCAACTTGGGGTTTGGAAGGATTTGCAAGTCTTATTTGGGAGAGCATTTGGTTGATTTGATTAATCCTACGTCTTTAGGGTTTGAAAAATCAGCGCAAAGTAGCCATTTATGTTTGTTAGGAAAGACCTTGGGCCCTACTTTTTCAGGTCTTTTCGATAGGAGTTTTGAAAACTTATCTATTCTCCTTTTCGGTGTTTTAGATGGGTCAATGCCTCCTCTCTCTCACCCCATTTTTTTTATTTTCTTTTCTTGCTTCTTGGCCCAGTTTTTGACGCTTATGTCCGACGCATAAGTGTCAATGTATAACATTTTGCTATACGTGAAGAAAACATCAAGTAAAGTCGCAAGTAGTTTGTTTTGGGACGTAGGGTGGTGATGATAAAGACACACTGAATATAGAGCAGAAAAATGCCCTATCCTATAACATCAAGGTTACAATAGGATATGGTATCCTTCACCGACATAAGTCTAGCGGGAGTTGGCTCGAACCTCCTCTGGTAGTTGGCAGTCCCACGCCCGACAGCGTAATCGACTTGTGGACAATAAAAAAAAAATTGTTAAAACTTATTTTAAAAATAAAAAATAAAAATATATTTTTCGCTATAAAATAAAATTTGATGATCTTTTTTTGGAGACCTATGTGCATGTCAAAAAACATAAATTTTAAAAAAACATTTTAAAACTGGTTGTCCACCTGACGAATACTTGTTTAGCCTGACAAATAACCCTCTAAGCAAGTGGGGTTCAAGACCCACGTCTAGACGAGTGGCGGGTTCTATACATTCGGGTGACCGAGTAGCATTCGTGGACCCTCGAGTATATATATATGTATATATCTGAGCCTAGCCCCACATGAGTGCTTGCAGTCCCCCTTACCCGAACCTTTTTTTGTTGTTTTATCGAAGCTTTAAGACAGGGCACTCGTGTTTCTTTTCTTTTCTTTTGGGATTTCTCCAAGATTTTTGAGAGTTTTTACTTGAGTCTTTTCTCGTTGATTTTCTCGAGTTCGAGTTTTCTGTCATGAGTCGTTGTTACACTTTTCTTTGGATTTTCTGGATGACGTTTTTTCTAGACTTCGCTTTTTGCGATGCATTTCAACTTGCTATATTGCTATATTTAAGAAACAAACGGGCATACAAGTTTGTTTTACATTTACAACACTTCTTTACAGCACTTCATTTCCCTGTTTATCATTTCCCTGTTTATACATGCTACTGTCCTGTACAACATGTTATACTATTCTTGTTTCTACCTGCTACTGTTCTTCCCGTACAACATGTTATACTATTACTGTTTCTACCTGCTACTGTTCTTCCTATACAACATGTTGTACTATTCATGTTTTTACCTGCTACTGTACTGTACAACATGTTCTTGTTTCTACCTGCTACCGTTCTACATGCATCTTACTGTTTGTCCAGTACTGCACATTTTATATTATATAGCATTAAGCATGCATTCTTTTTATATAGGATGTTTAGAGGACTATTACCATAGGGTCGTTTGATTTAACATCATAACTGGACACCCTAGAAAACTTGAACTCATCACGACAAGGAGCTTGGAACTAGCGCGATGGGCAACACGACCATCTTCAACAACAGAACATGTCTTCTCCAGCTAAACCATTCCTTTCCTAGAAATTAAAATAATAATCCATATGATTTCGATCCATAGGATTTTGAGGTTGTTTGCCTAGTGCAACATAAATCCTCAACCTTTTTGTTAGGTATTCGTATGACTCTGCTGTACGATCTAAGCCCTAACTCGTTTTAGGATTCTGAGGTTGTCGTTCATTACGACCTAAATTCTAATATCTTCCAGGCAATTTTTGCGATCGTTTCACACGAATGCAAGCCCCAATCGTTTCACACGAATGCTCACACGAATGCAAGCCCCAATTAAATAAAATTGGCAGGATGAAACATTTGAATAATTTTCCCTCAAAACTGAAGTCAAACCATAGGATAGACTGAGAAGTCACCGAGGATCTCCTCTGGATCGCTGGCATCCCCTAGTTATTCTTTCTTTGAATTCTGTAATAAATGTTCCAAATTTGAGGCATTCCCCTTTTACACCTCTTTGACCGATTTCGTTGAAAAGTCCTATCTTTTTTAAATCTTTGAAGACAATTTTTCCTGATTTTTATCGAGAGTATTCTTAAGTGACTTCGGTCATTTAAGATGTAATTAACTATAGGGGCTTGCCTTTATAGGAAGCTTTTCCGAACCCAGCTTAAAATAAACTCTATTTAATTTTTTATATTAAATAGGAGAATTTGTCGGCAAATAAAACGGTTTCGCATACCAAACAGACGTCATATATATCTTAGTTTATTTGATCGAGCTTCATCCTCAAGTCTTGTGTTTATTCATCGGGATAGATACAGGGTTTGAGGTAAAACACTCTTTTATTTATACTATGAAAAATATGAGGTCAATTTGATTTTCATATTTGATTTTAAACTTAAATCTATGTAAATTAAAACGTCATTTCGAAGCTGACGACGGAATTTCGATTCCGGTGGCCGACGGCTTCTTACGGGCAACAACACACCCCCAACACATTTTATCGCCGACATGAGGATGCAGTGTTGAGATTGCACAGTGATAGAAAGCTGCGGAGTCAACAGCCCTGCCTCCAGAGCCTTTTTTTGTCGACATAGCGACAAATTCACAAATTTGTTGGATAGGAGAAGGGATTTAATTTGCACTGTATTGGCTGGTTGTTTGGGTCAGATTTTATCTTAATTTGAAATGATAGCATGCGATAGATTGCTTGATACGCCATTGCGAACTGTTGGAAAACTATAAACCTGTATTAAAAGCTTTTATTCCTACACTATTTTCTTTGGCCTTGTGAGGGTGAGGACCTCAGATGCTCAGTGCTCATTGTATTTTCTTTCTGCAGTTTACAGTACGCTGCTAAGTTTTCTGAGCTGCTTTTGTTGTTGGCTGGTTCCATTAAATACTCTATGATGCCCCATCATTTGGTGAATTTCTATGATGATTTTTATGGTAAACTGTCAGGGCTCTTCTGGCTTATAGCCTGTTAAGTCGATTAGTCTGTTCTTGTTACATGCTTTTTGGATTGTAGCTTGCATAATTCTTTCAAATTTTGATCAATGAAATTATTTTAGGCCCTTGGTAAGCCACAGGAAACAGTCGACGAAGATCCAGAAGTCCCTCCTGAAGTGGTTGCAAAAGCTGGTGGTGTGCCTATGGTGGGCATGGGCTTTGATTCCGAAGAAAAAGCATACGAGTACTATGCTAACTATGCTGCAAATATAGGGTTTAGTGTACGGAAAGGTTTGTGGGATAAATCTGCAAAAAATATTACTAGATCCAGGATATATGTTTGTTCGAGAGAGGTATTTCGACCAAAGAATGCAGCTAGTGAGACGAAGAAGTCATGGTCTGAAGCAAGAACTGGCTGTCATGCAAAGATGGTCATCAAAGCTACCTCTCTAGGTAGGTACCGTGTGACTGAATTTGTAGTAGACCACAGTCATCAGCTTGCGTTACCATTGGATATTCAAATTTTGAAGTCACAGAAGCTTTTATCCAATGCTCAACATAGAAATCACCAAAATGCTGATCTTATCCCTGCTGGTTATAAGAATTATATACGGGCAAAGCGCATAAGGGCCATGAAGGTGGGAGATGCAGGAATTATTTTGGAATATTTTCAAAAGATGAAAGAATGCAATCCGTCTTTCTACTATGGCATTCAGGTTGATGAAGATGATAAAATGACCAATGTATTCTGGGCAGATGCCAGATCAATTATGGATTACTACTACTTTGGTGATGTTGTATGTTTTCATATGCCTTATAAAACAAATGTCTATGATAAGCCTCTTGCTCTGTTCATAGGTGTAAATCATCACAAGCAAGCTGTTATATTTGGTTCAGCATTTTTATATGACGAGACGACAGAAAGTTTCAAGTGGTTGTTTGAGACTTTCCAGACTGCGATGGCTGGTAAGCAACCTAAAACCATCTTCACAGATCAATGCCCTGAGCTTGATGATGCAATTGCTGCTATTTGGCCTGACACTGCTCATCGACTCTGCACTTGGCAAATATACCAGCATGCTTTCAAACATCTGAACGAATTATTCCAAGTATCAGAAAGTTTTGTGCATGAATTTTGCAGATGTATCTTTGATATTGAGGAGGAAGAGGAGTTTCTAGCTGCATGGTCAATAATGCGGGAGAAATACAATCTTAAAGAAAATGAATGGCTACAAAAAATATATGAGAAGAAAGAAAAATGGGCCCCGGCTTATTGCAGAGATACATTTTGTGCAGATCTGCAATCTACCTTGCGTGGTGAATGCTTGAATGACTTTCTGAAAGAATGGTTGAACAACGATGCAGATCTATCTTATTTCTTTAGGCAATATGAAAAGCTTTTGGAGGAGAAACACAGCGCAGAATTGCAAGCTGATTATAACGCAAATCAAGATATACTAAGAATACCTCTTTTACGGATGCTTTGGCAAGCTGCTAATATTTATACGCCTGCAGTGTTTGAGATCTTCAGAACTGAGTTCGAGCTGTTTATGAATTGTGTTGTTTGCAGCTGTGGTGAGATTGGCACTTGAGATTGGCCCTCTTTCCGAGTATGAAGTTACTCTCAAGGGGAAAACCAGAGCTCACTTTGTAAGATTTGACTCATCTGATGGCACTGTCTTATGTAGCTGCAAAAAGTTTGTTTATGTTGGGATTCAGTGTTGTCATGTACTTAAAGTACTTGATTTTAGGGATATTAAGGAGCTCCCACAACAGTTTTTCTTAAAGAGGTGGAGGAAGGATGCGAAGTCTGGAAGCTTAAGGGACAATGAAGGGCTTCCACTTCATAACAACCCAAATTCATCCATGATGAAACGGTACAACTCTTTGTGTCAAATATTATATAGAATTGCAGAACGTGCAGCAGAAAATATGGATGCATTCACATTATTGGCAGAGCAATCGGATCAGCTTGTTGAACATGTGGAGCGAATTTTGCAGACAAAACTGCTTGAGAAACCTCCTCCTATTAACAATGTCTTGAAGGGTCAGCTGCAAAATCCTTGCTGAAATCCAAAATTCCCTTGATGACAACAGTGAAGCCCTAAAAGTTAACTGCAAAAAGAGGAAAGATGCAATTGTTCCGCGCAGACAGCAAGGGAGATCTGAGGTGAATAAGAGACATAAACTAAGTAAAGGTGTTTACTAATGCTCATCACTAATCAACAGGTAATTTATTGCTGTCAGTTTAATTTATGGATTATTTTTACAGGGCAAGCTGAAGAGTGTGATGTTGCAGCAAGAGACGTGGAACCACCTCTGTCAACAACAGATGTTATTCCTCAAATAAATTCTTCGAATCAGTTTATTGCTCCGAGTCACTTTTTGCAGGTTTGCTTTTCTTTTGCATATGATTGCCAAGTATAGATGCCTATGCATATAAATTTCCCTTCTAAAGGGGCGTTAACATACATACCACACAAATCTTATGTATTTACATACCAACACTTAAAATTCATATTTAATTGCATACCATTCAAATCTTTAACATCACATCAAAAATATCATGGCTATTATTTTCTTAAAAGTGAAATACACTTTTTTTATGCGTTTGTTTATGACAGTGAAGTGGTATAGGAGTAAATATCAAAATTTGGGGGTTAGATATGTAAGTTCACAAGAATTGTGTGGATTTATATAAATTTCCCTTGACATTAGTGAGGTTCATTGCTACAGGGACCTTATGTTACTAACCATCAGTTTGGACTTGCCAGCGCACAAGCTTTTCATGCGATGACTCAGTTTGGTCAGGTAAGTGTGCCTTTTCGCACCAGTTTTAACTTTGTCTTCCACTCTAACGTTTAGAGAATCTGTTAATGCAGGACCAGCCATTTCACGGAAGCTCACATTTGAACCAGGTAGCTCTTCCTACTCTGCATTGTTACCATAGGGGTGTAAGCTGGTTACTTCAATACAGGGCATTCCTTTATAAGAAGATTTACATACGTACCACTCAATTCTTATGTATTTACATAACTAACACCTAAACTTCAATTTTCACATACATTCCACCTTACCTATGCATGAAAAGGTGTCTTTCACTTTTAACAGTAAAAATGATGGGTTTTTTTTTTTGTCATGTGAAAAATTTGGGTGGTACAAATGTAAAAAGCTAAGTTTAGGTACGTAAATGCCCCTTTATATGGATTAAGTCTTTCAGTCTTTCACGGGCTGAAGCTAGGAGCCTATCTATTAAACAGGCTTAATTAGGAGAACCGGTTTTGTTATTTAGTCCTCTTAGGGTTGCTGAAGTTGTTCGCTGCGTGCAGTTATTGATAATGGGTTGGCAGGATATTGGAGGTTTTTTTTTTAGGAAATTTACTTATGAACCACACAATTCTTATGTATTTGCATATCTAACTCCCATATTTGAATATTTATGCTTATAAAACTTTGGTGTCATAAACCTATGCATGAAAAGGTGTATTTCACTTTTAAATAGGTAGTGATGGTGGTATTTTGATGTGATGTTGAATTTTTGGGTGTTAGATATTTAAGCAAATAAGAATTGTGTGGTATGTATGCAAATGCCCTCCATTTATTTTATAGCCGGGAAATTGTGGAGGATCTGATAATGATCTGGACTTATCAAGAGTCTTATTTTCATGTACTTAACCTAAAAAAGATAATTAGTTATGGCTGGTGAAGATTAAATTGCTATTTTTCAGGAATAATAGGGTGATGCTGCAATCTCTCAGGAATAATGAGATGCTGTGGCTATTTGTTGTAAACATTCATTAAAAATATATAAAAGATTTAAACGCATATCTTTTATATCATTGACAGAACTAATTTATATTTTCGCAAGCTGCCAGCATGAAACTGCCAGTCTAGCCTTGATAACTTATATTGTCTCAGATCTCAATTGGGCCGGCCGCTCCTAGTTATCATCAGCTTTATTTAGACATCGGTTTTCACTTCTTTAGTACATTTGCAATAGTCATTGCTATTAAGAGCTTCACTGAGTATTCATTAAGTGGCTTGAAGCTAAGGGGGCCATGGGTTCGCTTGCAGCTTTTAATAAAGTTAGCTATGAATTTATGATACCATCCAATTCTTATGTATTTACATATCTAACACCTAAAATTTGTTTTTCACATTTATTACACCCAAATCATTCATATCACATAAAAAATACCACCATTTTAACTTTTAAAATGTGAAATACTCCTTTTCATGCATAGGTAAGGTGGTTTGTATGTGGAAATTGAAGTTTGGGTGTTAAATATGTAGATAAATAAGAATTGAGTGATATGTATGTAAATCTTTCTAGATGTTTTTTCATTTCAAATTATATCGAATCCCAGTTTTTTTACCTATACTTTAGAATATTTGCTTGTGAAAGCTTCTCCTCACAATTTTTTTTTAAAGAAATAAGAAAGTTTTAGCCATATAAAATTATAAAATAAAGCTACTCAAAAACTATCCCAATCACTCTTTTAATTCTTTTTCGAAATAATCTTCATCCGTAGCAGCGACATTGCAATCATAATTCTCTCGGAATTTGTTACGCTCAAAGATGATAAGTTGGCATTGAAATGGTCCAATATTTGAGCATGCTATGATTTGCTGTGTGAAATAGTTGATTGTCTGAATGATTTTGGGCTAAATGAAAATTTACATTTCTGTCTTAAAGCTACTTATCACCTTTCTTTTTTCTATGTTTGATTTAGGGCAGTTAACAAGTTGATTTTGAGCTGAGCTGGGTCCAGTTTGAAATTGGATCGAAAGGATTGAGTTTGGATTGAATTCGGTTTGTGTCTTGTTATGTTCGATTTCGAACCAACTCGGCTTGAAATTAAATCAAACTCAATCCGGCTCGAAATTGAAATGCGTTGGCTCAAATTTGAGTTATTTGGATCGTTCCAGCTCAAAATTGACTCGTAGCTCGTTATATTCGATTTTATTTAGTATTATCTATAATTTTTATAAATAAAAATACTTTGAGCCGATCTCGAGCTAGTTCGAGCCGATTCTGTCTATGACTTGAAATCTGCTTGAAAAAAATTTGATACAAAGTTTTGGGTCATAGCTCGGGTCTTTTTTTTTTTTTTTGATCTAAGCTAATATTTCAAATCAATTTTCGAGCAATTAACAATCTTCGAGCTAAATTCACTGCCCTAGCTTGACTAAGATTTTCTCTTTCCAGTCAACCGTGCCAGGTTACCCCACCCCAGAAATGCATGCTCTTCAGTTCGTTGGGAGCAATCCGCAGCTTGATCACCAAGGGAGTGATCAAGGACATTGTAATATTCCCGTGTGGGATTTTCTCTGAGGTGAGTTCTATGACAATTTAAATCTATGGAATTAAGATTTCAAATGAGAGATGGAAAAAAAAGTTTACTTCAATTTTAAAGTTATATATAACCACAGTTTTTTTTTTGCCCCCCCTAATCGAGGAAGCAAGAACCTCCTCCGTCCCGTGCTTGATTCCACTATTATTATATGGTCTTCTGACTCTAATAGTCGGTCATTTTAATCCCAGGCTTTACAAAAATGCCAATTTAGTTCCCACATTTTTTAAAATATGGGCTAAAATAGTCACAAGTAGTAAAACTATTTTAGCTATTTTAGCTATTTTAGCCTCAATTAAAAGAGTTTGAGAATTAGTATGACATTTTTATGGATTCTTAGATTAATAGCCTCACTTAAGAGTGGGAAAATTTTATATTTTTGTAGACTCTGAGACTAAATGATTCTATGTGACTATTTTAGCCTCAGTTGAAAGAGTCTGAAAACTAATTTGATATTTTTATGAACTTTGGGACCAAAATGATCGCAGCTTCTGCTAATAACAAGTCTTTCTCCTTCATGGAAGAAGAAAAAAAAAAGAAATGAAGAACTTACAATAATGTAGTTTTGTGTTCGTCAGTTTTCTGATATGTATTGCTGCTCATCAACAGGTAGGAACACAACATGGTGTATATAAGAAGGGAAGTTTTAGAAAGTTTTTGTTGCTGATTTTATTTTTGATCAACGGAACATGTAATCTCACGCAGCTTAAGTTCCACACAGAAATTAGCTTCAGATGGTTAGGGCTATCAGGCATATATACTGGAGATTTGCTGGATCTTCAGGAGCTTTCTAGCTTTTAAAATTCGGGTCAGTTTATTTTCATTTTTATTTTACCTATGCTTCTTCATTGAAGATCCCGTGTATATTTCAAGAAAAATTTTTCCTGTTTTAGCCCATAATTAAGAAATAAATAAATTGACATTCTTTAATGTCATGAAATTTTGCCATTGCGTCAGTTGTAAATATATTGAGGGGTTGCCCGTTATATGAGACGGATTATGTTCTGGGAAGATGATTGATGTCAAAGTCTATTGAGGATGTTTCAAAGCGCAATGAGTAAGTTTTTTTGTATGGACTTTTAATTATTTTTAAAAAAAAATTGGACAAAGGGCGGACCCCCCAACCAATCCCATGTGCAAATTTGAATCCCGTCTGGTCGAGGATTCGAATCGGGATTGAGAGGGGACTTGCGCAGAGCCGCAACCAATCACCTACACCTAGTGCACTCCTATGAATTATTTTTGTCTTAAAATTGTTGAATTCTTTCAAAGATGCGTACGATAAATTTTGATTGATTATTTTTATATTGCATCAATTTTAAAATAAATAATACAAGTATTTAGAGATAGGCGTGTAAAATAAGTTCATTATTAACCAATAGCTTGTGTTTGGCTCGTTAAGCAACTCATCTTCAAATTGTTCGTTAAGTATCTGAGTCGAACACAATTTTTTTAAGTTCCAATTGTAAACAAGCTGAACAAGGACATATTATTCATGAGCAATTTGGAATACTAGCAAAGTTTGAATATGATTAATTTCAAATGGGTCGAACAAGCTGAGTTTTAGCTTTAATGTTTAGATAAAGCCATGCTTGCATTTCTAATTAAATTTAAAAATATGAAATATTTTTTTTTTTTTTTTTTTTTTTTTTTGTGTAGATAAAGTGGTATATATGTAAAAATTAAAGTTTAAATGTTAGATATGTAGGTGCCAATGTAGAGGAAGAAAATTTAATGATATTTTATCACCTAGTTTTATATTAAAAATTACATCTATAATGTTACAGAATCATATCATTATATAGTTTTTAAATAAGTTAAATCATGAAATATTCATCAGCCAATAAATATCTATTCCATAAAACAAATTTAAAAAAAAAAAACACCTGATTTTAGTATTTATCTACTCTGATTCGCTCCTTAACAATGACTAAATGGGGCATTTACATACATACCACACAATTCTTATATATTTACATATTATACACCTAAACTTTGATGTATACATGCATACCATTCAAAATCTCTAACATCACTTGAAAATACCACTACTATTAAGGGTTCGTTTGGGGGGAGGCGGTACCCCTGCGGCGTGGCGAGTAAAAATGAACTTCGTTTCGCGGGATAACCCTCGTGGCCTGGCTTTCGCCCGTGATTTTTACCCTTTACCCCGCACTCTCCGTAGGGTTCTCGCTGCTTCCACGCTGTCTCTCTCGCGAACTAGAAACCGAGGGACATCGGAAATCGAGGGAGAAACCTAGACGACGGTGATATCTTTGAGGAGTCGAAGGGTTTTGTTGAGGGGAAGGGAAGGAAGAAGGGGAATGGTAAACAAGGATGTCGTGCATTGGAGGAAGAAAGGCAAGATCCTTGCCATGGTGTGGTTCATGGAGGAACAGAGGATGGCGGTTAGATAGAGCTTGATTTGAGAGGGAGAGGTCAAAGCCACCAGCGGCAACAGAGGTGGTGGTTTCTGTTTCTCCTTATTCTTGCTTATGACTTGATCGAATCTGATACACATAATATCATACATTTATAATTTTTTTAAAAAATAATTATTATTTTACAATTATATATATATAATATTTATATTTATTTCATATGAATTATTAATAAATAATATTATTAAAAATTTTACATATATTGAACATTCTCATATAAATACTTAACAATTATTTAACGGATTTAGCAAATATGGACAATTTGATTATTTTTTCAAATAAAACTACCCCGCAGCTGTTTTCACACAGCTGCACCAAATAGACAGTCAGATTCCCGGCAGCTGCTTCCCGACAGCTGCTTCCTAGGGCACCGCAGCTGCAGCTGCAAAGTTTAGAAGTTGCAGCTGCGCTAAAAAGGGCCTAAGTTCCTAAAAGTGAGAATGTGAGATACATCTTTTTTCTTGCATAATTTTTATAGCACCAGAGTGTTATAAATGTAAATATCAAAGTCAGGCTGTTGGATATGTAAAAATATAAGAAATTTATGGTATGTATGTAAATCCCACGGCTACTGAATAGTAAACAGTAAAGGCACTAATACGATTAAATCTTTTAAATGTTCGTCGCATAACACCGAACGTTCTACATAAATTATCACTGTAAACTTCACTCAGTTCAACCAAATCTGGAGCCTAAGGATTTGAAGCAGATTATTTAGCAAAAACAAAAAAAAAAATAAATAAATTTAAGACAAAACACAGCAACTAAAGGAGTTCAGTAGATGTGATCTTCCTGATAGCTATCACCAATGACTGAAATGAAGCTCTCAAGCCATGGAAGCTGATTAAGATCCTTGATAGCATCGAGGTACGAGTCGGACGAGCGAGGAGGAGATTGGGAGGGGTTGTGGTGGTCGAGGCTGATCCCACCGGCGAGAAACCTTTGGATCAGAGCCAACTGAGTCTTTTCCTGCTCTGTGTAGCCATCAATGGTAGATGACAGAGGATTGAAACAATCCCATCTCCAGAGCTCAGTTTCATGTTCAGATGGAGATGGAGAGGATTCAGAGTTCTCATCATGGAGTTCGCACTGGCATGTCCGAGTTCCATATCTATACTCTGCCCCGCAGGAGAAGCAGAACTCATGGCCACACCTGTAGATCAAAAAAATTAAAAATTTTTAGATGTTGGGACGTTTTGTTATTTTTTAGCTTCAGGAAAATTTCAATTTTTATTGTTGAATCCAAGTTTGAATGGGGCGGAAAAGATAATGAATACATTCAGATAAAAGTGCAGTGAAAAAGAAGGAAGATTTGCATACATATCACTCAATTCTCATGTATTTTCATAACAAACACTTAAACTTCAATTTTTACATAAGTACCATCTTACCTATTGATGAAAAGTGCATTTCACTTTTTAAAAGTTAAACTGATGGTACTTTTGATTTGATATAAAAAATTTGGGTGGTATAAATATAAAAATTGAAGTTTAGAAAATTGAAGTTTAAGTGTTAGATATGTAAATACATAAGAATTGGGCGGTATGCATTTGGCGCATATACATGCATACCGCCCAATTCTTATGTATTTAGTTTGATATTTACTCTTATAACAACTTGGTGCCATAAACCTAAGCATGCAAAGATGTATTCACTTTTAAAAAGAAAGTGATGTGGTATTTTGGATGTGATTTAAAGATTTGAGTGGTATGCATGTATATATGAATGTTTAATGCATGTATATATGAATTATGAATGTTTAGGTGTTAGATATGTAAATAAATTAGAATTGTGTGATATGTAGGTAAGAGCCCCAAAAAGTATATTGAAGTGGCTCGAATATGTAGCCTATGTCCATCTTCCAATTCAAATTTGAATTTTCAACTCAAAGTTTTCGAGGAAAATAAGGTCCACTTCGACGATGACCATGGCGTAAGAAAAGATTTTACTAGAGTTTAGACTTCAGTCTTAACAAGCATCTAGTCTTTGATCTCTGTTCTCATTTTTTTATGAAGTAATTTACCCGTCACTAAACCAATCTCCATGGGGGTTGACATTCCTGCAAATAGGAGTCAAAGGTTTGACATGGCTAATTTATGAGTCACTAAACCAATTTCGGTGGGGTAGACATTCCCGTAAATAGGAGTCAAATGGTTGACATGAGTAATTTATGAGGCACTAAACCAATCTCGATGGGGGTTGACATTCCCGTGAAAAGGAGCCAAAGAACTCGAGAAGGCGGCAGCAATGATAACAAAAAGAATGTTTGCACATTTACCGACAGAGATATCCATGACAGTCACTTTAACATTAATTGTACTCCATAAGTAAATATAGTAATTTCTTAAATGTAATGTGGGAGTTTGCTCGGAGCAACATCATATGGTCGGCAGAGAAGCTATTATTGCACTTCAGGTTGAGCAAGAGAAAGAGCTTTATGTGCCTGTCAAGAAGTTGTCAATCATCACAACTTGGGAATTTAGAAGTTCTGTGAAGACATGGAAGTAGAAGTATTCGTTTACCTCCACGGAGGATGGTTAGCAGCTATCAAATAACTAAAATGAACCATTTAAGGTCCCAAATCAATGTCACCACATGCCCTTTGACGTAGTCCCAATGGTGAGAAGTTAGGAAGGCAAGAATGGTGCTCTATTACTAAACAACCTAATACAACCCCATATTAGTGCAAGAGGAACCATAGTGTCGAGAAAAAGGAGTGTAATGACCACAGTGCTAGTGCGACAATAAAAAAGGCAAATGTATTGCAAGAGCCGACTCAACTCTCCCAAAGGGAACCAGCGTTCCTTGCCTAAGACTGCCTCGGCGTTAATAGAATGGATTCCTTTTTTGCTCATGGCCACCACGGTAAGAGATCTTTCCTTCTCTTCTCATTGCTCTTTGTTGCCTTTGTGCACTGACTTCACTTCCCGCGCATTAGACGGCCTTTTGCACAGCCTTTCTTCTCGATTTAAGAAAGGAGAGTCCAAGGCATCACTTCAGCCACCAACTTTTCCCCTTTGTAATCACTGGAGTATCCTCCCCCAGCTTCTTCCTTCATCAATCGAGCCTCCTCTGCCAAGCCCCTCCTGTGATTTCTTCTCCCTTAACCGAGTAAACAAAAGGATTGAATAATTCCATTCTTCTCCTCTCCTTACAAACCTTGTTGTTTAATGTCCTCCGCTACTGTTATTAAAGAGGGGTTCAATTTTTAATTTATTTATTTTTGGTTAAGTTGATGAATTTCCATTTACACTTAGATTATAATGATTTTATTTTCAATCATCTATTAACTATGTCATATTAGATTAGGCTAGTAAAGTTATATTCTGAATATAATAATTTGGGTATTTAAATTTTTTCAAGTTGAAATTGTAGGGATCTCTTGTTTTTTATTACGCCTTAAATGTGTAATCCAAATCGCTTAGATTCGATTCCTCTATCCATGTTTAGAAATAAGGTAGCTTATTGTCATGCCCCACCAATATTACGACATGATGGAGTATTCTAGAAGATGGAGGCCTAAAGAACAACCTAGAAGAATCTAGAATATGTATGTACATTAGAATAGTGTAGAACTATCCAGAAGCTAAAATATTATATTGTAAAGCTCTCTTTAGAGAATAGTCCCACATTGGCAATACGTAAGGCCAAAGCCATGGAGGAAGCTATTAATAAGTGTCCCCTCCCTCATTCTAAGGCATCCAAGGTTTCAAGCTTTGTAATATCTCTTTATTAGTGAAGCTTTATCTTCTCTAACTCTTCTTTCTATTCTACTTTCATGAGAGTGCTTTTGAGTTGAGTTGGGAAGGTTTGCTTTTGAGTTGTTAGTTGGGAAGGTTAGGCTGATTTAGTGCTAAGAAATAGCGCTAAAGCCGCATGGATAACTCGAGGAAAGTTAGTCCGTGACATTATGTTGTATATTTGCAAGTATTAAAACCTTTAATATGCTTCGGGTATTAACTTAGGTTCTGCCTTATCTAGGGCCTTGAGGTTGAGTTCCATGTAACATCACCAATTAGATCTCGGATAACTTGAGAGTGGCATAATGCTCACATCGAGATTGATGTACATAAGTTGTTAGGTGATGATGACTTGGCACCATCCAAACAATGACAAAGTATTATAGATTTCCCTGTTATATAAACAAATCCATATAACATCATCAAAGAAAAGAAAGTGCTTGCAATAAAATGTTGTAATTTAACAGCAAAATGGAAAATCTAGATTCCAGTCCAAAACTCTAAAGAATCACTAAAATGCCTTGATAAATTGAAGGTATAACTAGAATCAATAATTTTATGAATGCATTTAAAAAATCAATTAAATAATCACCATCATCATACCGGCAGGACACACGGTAGCAGCCTTCCACAAGCTCGAGCATTTGTCTGCATTGCTGGCATCGTCTCCAACTGTTTCGCCGGGCCAATTGATGCAATGTTAAATCTTCAACATTTCTCTCATCAAAAATCAAATTTTGATACTCCTCACACCTCATTGTGGAATGCCATGGCACCTGACACCTCGAGCAGACGAATCTACAGCACTCCGGGCACTCGATGCAATATATGTTTGATTTTATCAATGTGGACTCCCTATCGGGCGAATGATGATGGCTGTGAAGTAGCATTGAGCAATCAGGAAACGGGCAGTAAAATCTCCACAAGTTTCTCGCCTCAGTTTCTGCAAGCGCTCCCTCTAAAGATTCAAAAGACGAAGATGGAAGAAAGGATCTACACACACTGTTTGAAATGTAACTTTTGCATTTTGGTTGAGGGCACTTTACAGCGATCGGTGAGCTCCGGAATTTAGTTTTAACATAGATACCCATGCAATCAAAACAAAGGTCATGGGAGCAGTCCATCTCTATCATTTTAGATAGATGCTTGTCCTCCCCACAAGTAGAGCACTCGATTAACTGGCAAAGAATTCCGGTTGCTTCTTGGGCCAGCTTCAATGGCTTCTTAAGCTCAGATTTAGGAGCCAGTTTAAGAACAAATGATTCAAACTTATCTGCAATTTCTTGAATTCTTTCTCGCAAGGCAATCAAAAGCTGGCCTTCTACTGAATCACTTCTTGTAATCTGTTCATTTTAGATATTTGTATTCATCAATAGCTTGCATTTCAATATTCTCACATGTATGAAAAGATAAATTCTAAGATACATTCAATCAGAGAAAGTATTTAAACTTCTATGGCAGTTGATGAAGAAAAAAGTATATTACACTGCAAAAAGAATCCAAAATTCATGACATGGGAAAATTAAATTTGAGACTATAAAATCTATAGAAAACATTTTTCCTCAACAAAACCAAAAATTTCACATTAATAAGACATGGAAAAGATGTTAATCTATTAATCACATAAAAACATTTATAATCCAGAGTAACATAATATTAATATAATCAATTCACGGCTCCAATCATCCTAAACAACCTAAATTTTCATAAACAAATAAGTACTTACCGAAAGATAAACTTCGTTAGAATCTGTAAATGCTAAAACCTTACGACATCCATTTCGCAGGGCCTCAAGCAGGCCATCCAACAACGCTAAGTGCTCTGCTATTAACTCCTCCACAAAGAAATCCAATTTTTTCTGCACTTGAAGAAAAGGAACCCCATGAGGCTTTTCCATAATCACCCCAATTCCAGAGATTCTAGAATCTAAACCACAATTCTCAGACATTGAAACACCCTTGGAGAAAATCCTCACTGAAAACTCATCATCATCATCTTCATCATGATTTTCAAACAACATTATTGAGCACTTTAAAATATCATCTTCATGATCCTCAGAAAATATTAATGAACACTCTGAGATATCTTCATCATCTTCAGAAAGTTGTAATGAAGTCTCTGAGACATCACTTCCATTGGCTTCACAGAATCTTGGTGAGGAATCCATAGCACCATCATCATGGCCTTGAGAGAATCTTAGTTCGCAATCCAAAATACGTTCTTCCTCACCTTCAGACAATCTTAGTGAAAACTGGGAAACATCTTCCTCATGGTCTTCAGGCAGTGCCAGTGAGCATAGTGAAACAACCTCTTCATGGCCTTCGCACAATCTTAAGGTGCTCTCCGAGACATCTTCATCATGGACTTTAGACAGACTAATGAAGCACTTAGGGCCAAAGTCTTGATCATCTCCTTCATGCAGTCTAAGCGAACACTCCGTAACAAGTTCGTGGACGCCATCAGAAAAGTTCATTGAATCCTCTAACTTTTCTCCAAACTCCATTAACGATGCCTCAACATCTTCTTGGAGAAGTTGATCAGATAACCTTGATGAGAATTGATCGCCTTCTTCTTGTCCTTGACATATCCACAACGGAACCTCTTCCCTCCCTTCCACTCGTTCTTCTAGTAAAGATTCCTCTGCATCCTGCCAATCCTCATCTTCCTCACAACAACTCCTAAATTCTTCATCCAAACCATAATTTCCCAGATTCAGATCGCTAGAATGCGCAGACTCCTCCATTGCAAGAAAAGATTGACCTCACAGCACCCAAATAATCCTTTTCTCTAAATACGACAACGATGAAAATCTAAAAAGGAATTAATTAATTCCTCGTCACAGAAGTCGGTACAACCATGGCTGCAGAAACTTCAATCATGCACTGATAAATGTATGGTTTCTTAATGAAACTTCAGCAGAAGGCCATCGGATCGAATCTTATAAATGCTTTCCATATCAAATCTCAAATATCATCTAGATCTTCCACCATAATCAAACAACAGTCAAAAACCCCACAGAAAAACTCTCCTAACAGAACAAAAATGAACAAAAACTACAGAAAACCAACAATTTCATTCGGTTTCAACCTCTTTGCAATCAGAACCCGAGCCTTCCGGCGTCTCTTGCCAAAACGAAATCCGACAAAAAAGCCGGAATCCTCCACGAAGAAGCAACCTTCATAAACAACAAAGTGAAATCACCGGGCCCCCTCATCACCATGAAGAAAAAGGAAGACGGCAAACTGTTTCAGTCCCAAAGAATCAAAAGTGAAAACCGACAAAACCAAAAGAGTGCTTCGCGCATAAACCTCCTTTACAGATGAATACTCATTCGGCAGCCGGAAAAAAAATTACGGCGTTGAAAGGCCGCCGGAGCTAACCGACAAGCAATCGATTTGATTCCGATCGGACGACCTTTTTCCTCCATAAGAGCAGAGCTCAGACGAAAGTGTGCGCAGGTAATTACTCCGGCTGTACGAGAAGCGATAGAATAATAGAAAAACAGAGGATTTATTTGCACTAAACCCCCTGTAAATATTTTAATTGTCTTAGACTAACCGGTTTTAATTTGGGTAAATCAATCCGGAATCTGATCCGAAGCACCGACCCATGGGATCGGGTCACCAAAGGTGAAATGAGGAATAAAGTTCACGCAAGATTCTTAGACACGATCACCGAAAGTTCACCCCGTGCTGCGTATATAATGGAGGTTATATTGGCATTATATCGATATTATATTCGTATTATATCTCTTATAACATCCATATAAACCTACATGTAATTTACCTAAATTTACAAATAAGTTCTGCACTTCTATTTTCACATATCTATAGATTACATGTATGTTACATGAAAGTTATATGGAGGTTATAAGGAATATAAAGTGAATATAATGCATATATAATCCCGATATAACCTTCATTTCCGATTACAAGGGGCATTTACACGCATGCCATATGCTTCTTATATATTTATATATCTATCATCTAAATATTCAATAATTGCAGTAAATTATAGATATTTATGCACGACTTTATGAACGTGGGTGGCACAATTATATAGCCAAGTTGTTCATCATTGCAAGCGTAAGAATGGTAGACTTCTTTCATATAAAAATATTTGAACGATATAAAATATAATAAACAAAATGGCAGAGCTTTCAGTAACAAACACAATAAAAAATTATTGCTACTTCAACCTATGTCCTGCATAACTTAATTTTAAGAATTTGTTATGATGGACCATCATGCTCTCTAAAGATTAAGTAATTTTAGTATAAATATAGTATAATCAACAATTAGTTTTTAATACCTATATTCAACTTTTATTCGTAGAATACGGTCATAAGTATTTAGGGATGAGTCGAATGCGTTATCTTGTTCTCTCTCTCTCTATAAAAACTAGGCTCTCTCTCTCTCTCTCTCTCTCTTATGACCAGAAAATAGAGACCCTTTCCTTGAGTCATTCCGGACTATGGGTGTAAATGAGTCGAGTTGACTTGTAAGCTGGCTTGAGCTCAACTCATTAACGAGCTCGTGAGTGGAGCTTGTTAAGCCTTGAGTCCAAGCTCGAGCTTATAACCGAGCTTTTACAATATAGAAGCTCGGGCTCGAGTTTCATGCAATTCAATGTGTCGACTCGATTAAAATAGGCTTAAGAGTAAGCGTGGGTCTCCGAAAATTCAAAATGCACCAGATTCTCGTTGAGAGCTAATTTGTTAAGTTTCAGGTCAAATTTTCGAAAGGCATGTAAGATAGCAGATAAGACACTGCCCGAGATTTCACTCTCATTTTGCAAGGACTTCAAGATCTAGGGTTTGTGGCTTTCCGTGCATGCAAACCCTTATGATTAATTACCTCTCTCGATAATGAGAGAGCACTTTTGATTAAGGTTATTCATTAAACATTAAGTATTCAAACTTAGCATAATGTAGTAGTGAATTTATAATTTAAAATTATAAAAATTATCATTGTTAGCTAAAAAGCGGGTGATTGGGGAAGCAACGACAACCCGATCAAGATCCCATGGTTCCATCATCTTGGGTTGTCATTGTCTCAGTCTACTTAGTCAGTGGAGTTAGCCAACCCAACTTGACATAAAGATTTTTGTCAGCAATTATGGGTTGATTGGTCTAAGAGGAACTTGTAGACCTATGATGAATGATTCTCAAAGGGGACTAATCTAAATCAATGTTGGCTTACAGAGGATTTTATGTTCTATTAATTTTACCTTATGATTCAATACTCAAAAAATAAAATATGATTGGGGAACATACGAGCTACATCTGTGATTTTTTTTGTAATGGAGTCTATTGCTCAAACCATCTCATAGAGTCTATTAGCCGAACCATCCAGTCAAAGGACTCTGGTCGTAACCGCTTCTTTTATGGAGCATATTGACCAAATCACACGGTCAAATGATTCAGATCACGTCCTTACTGAAATAAGATTATTTTGAGTGTGAATATAGTAGTAAGTTTGATGTGACATTGGTTGGTTTTATTGATGATCCATGGTTCTATGATTATTTTGTTACAAAATCTTTTGCTTGATTTGATTACTTTATTCTTTATTATAATTGTTTAATCAAATTAGTTGATACATTCTGTGTGTCATTCTTTTTTAACATTGCTCATGATTTTATTGATCTTGCATGTTAACATATGATTAAATGTGTTATTTTTTTTAGCTTTAACGAAGATATAAAATTACCCTGTTTGTATTTTTTATTGCATTAGTTTGCCAAAAAATATGAAAAGTGAAATATTAGATGAATCAACTCAAGCTTGTATAGATTGAGAACAAATTCTTACTATCTTAATTGAAGATGAAAACACTACTAAAAAGCACCATGATAACAATGATGAATAAAATGTTGGTGATGGAGAGAACAATAGTGATGGGAGTAATGTTGGTGAAGTGAAGAATGGTGATGAGGTGGGTGATGAGATTGGAAGTGAAGTTGAGAGACAAAAAAAATGTTGGCATCAATTTTAGATGTCACACGCGTAGGATGTCCATATGAACGACTTGGGATGATCTACTGTTCATCCGTAGCGTCTCACAGCTCAAGACACCCATTTGAGACTTCTTGGCACGTATTCGAGGCACGAAGCCAGAGTTCATGATTATTCGACCTTGCCTGGGAGAATCATCAAGAATCATGGCTCCAAGCACATGGAGTAAGGCTCAAGTTCCCTCCCCTTTCAGTGGTGGAGGAATATGGAGGTGGAAAAGAAAAGAGTTTCTTATGGAAGGAGGAGAAGAGGAAGTAGAAGCTCTAGGGAACAAACCTTACTCCTTACCCTTCTCTATTGCTCTCCACTTCAACAGCTTTCTTTAGCTCCCAAGAAAAACACTAGCTCCAAGCTCTAACCTCCAAGGGAAGAAGGAGATCAGCCTCCACGCTCCAAGAATGTTGAAGATGAAGAGGAGATAGGTAAATGAGGGGGCCAAAAGAGCTTAAAACAACCTCTTCCCATTTCCCCAACAAAATTTCCAGATGTGGCTTTGCCACCTCACCTAAGAAGTTCCCAAAAGGTTATGATGATCCCCATTCGCATGCCCAAGGCAAATCCATCCATATCTCAAGGAAATCCAGCTTTTGGGTTGCCTAGGGGGTGCACCAGGGTCAAAAGGATCAAATTAGAGTAAGAAATTGGGTTCTTAAAGTAGACGAGTGCCTAGGAGCTACGACTCTAGAGCCTAGGTACGTAGTCTGGGGCCATGACATCATGCCCCTGGTGCCTATGCGCCACCCAGGTGGCGCTTACTTTCCAACAGGTTGGAAAAATGACCATTTTTAGAATTTTTGGGAGCCTAGGGGTCCGAAACTGGCGCTTAGGTGCTAGAAACTGATGCAAGGCTTTCAGGGGCTCAATTTTGAACATTTGGGAGGGCATTTTAGGGGCTTAGGCATCAGTTTAGCCTCAAAAATCTTGATTTACACCGGGAACGCATGACGGAGGATCTCTTCGATCAGAAAGCTATGGAAAACCACATATGAGTATATTATGATTCTCTATCCTAAAAAAAATGAGTGTTTTGCTCATCCATTGATAGGGGAATTTGTCGCTAACGAGCACTCCAGACTACGACGCGGGTAGGGCATTCCAAACCCTAATTTTCTAGTAGCGCACGTAGGCGGGCTCCGTGACTTCCCTTGACCCCGGGGAGGCTCTGAATGGATACAGATGGACCTATAAATGCCAGATGAACATCAAATACATCTGATGTCCTGGGTGAGTCTGTAAAATAGTAGATTCTCCCGGGTAAGGCTGAGTCATCGCAGACGCTGGTTACGTGTCCTGAACATGTACCAGGAGGTCTCGGATGGGTGTCTTAAGCTATGAGATGCTATGAATGACAGTTGCTCTAATCCAGCCAAGTGGACACTCTACATGTATGACATCAAAATTGACACCAATACTAATCTTCAAGAACCACTTCTAAACTGGGTGCAACTTTATAAATAAAGCTTTGCCACCCCCCCACTCCCTCATTCTGCCATACTGGATTTCTTCCAATTGGATTAGGAAGTTGATTTCTTCAAGATTTGGTACAAGGGCTTCTTCATATGCTCTTATTAAAAACACCCTGCTCGGAGAAAATAAATTCAAAAGCGGGACTAGCAAGTTCTCAAACATTATTCTTGAATATGATTGCAACCATTTTCAAGAAAATATACTGTCTATTTTGACATATGTCCTAGTCTTGAGAAATGTAGAATATTTTCTCACACCTTATTCTAGGCTCAATCGGCCCTGAAGTAACTTAATTTGAGCTATTTCACCACTGTTTGCAGTCGTCAAGCATAATCATTGATTAACAACCTCAGCTAGCTTAAAAATCATTGGTGGATTACTATCGTCTTCTTCCATTGCAGGCTATAATGGAAGATAACTTTATCGAATTCATTGCTATAAACAGGTATCCTTAGCCGAGTAGAGGAATAAATATCTCACATATTCGAAGTTTGTTCAAGTGGAAAATATTCGTGTCATATTTATGTAACTTATACATTTATTTAATTTTGTTTTCTTCCATACAAAACTCCATAAATAGATCTTCCTTCACAAAGAAAAAATATATATATTAGAGAGCATTCCATAATTCTTTTTTCCTATTTCTTTTTTATTCCCATCTTTTACTTTGGATCTTTTATGTGTTATAGCAAGATGAAAAGCCATCTTGCCTATTTGAATATACAAAAACTTGTACACTCATGCTACATAACCTATTTGATAACCACTCAAATCATATTTTATTTCCATAATCTTTCCAAATATTTGAGACTTGAGTAGTAACCACATTGAGCACACAATTGCAGAAAAAAAAGAAGAAATAATTCATTACCATTTTATATTTGTTTAATTTTGAATCTCAACCTTTGTGCACATTTATTGAGTAAATTCTATGTGCCTCGCTGCAACTTATTTCATGTTATGCTTAGCATAGTTCTTATAGTATTCATGTGCACCTCCTTTCAGCTGCTTTATTTAAACCAACATTAGAATTATCAAGTGCATACAAGCTGATAAAATGAGTAGAGCTCGAGCTTTCCAATCCAGCTCGAACCTAATTTTTTTTTTAGTAGAGTTCAAGGTCACTATGTAAGCTTGAGTCGAGCACGACTCTGACTCATTTACACCCATATTCCATAGACTGAGAAACAGGAGCTTTAGCAATACATCCATCATATCCTCCTAAACCTTCTTCTTAAAAATAGAATCTTTACCTTTGTATGAGTTCAAGAGCAACACAGAGCCCTCACAAAAAGAAATCAACACAACTAAAAAGAGATTTCAGCAACCTTAGAAAAATTATCATCAAAAAGTCTAATTTTGATTTTTTCTTTGTATGTATATGAAAAGAAGAGGAGAAGGTGGCCAAAAATGGGAGCCTGCCCTACCTGATCAGGTTAGGACTGGATGCAGATGAGAGGCACGTGGTGGGGTTTGAGAGAGCAAAGTTGCTTTTCAACATAATCTCTCTCATAGCAAGAGAATGGCCCTATTTTATTAATTATAAAATGGGATCCTAATAAAATGGGAGGATCCACCCACTGAAGTCATGTCCATCATAATTATACTTTTAGTTCATTGATTAAAAAATGGGCCTTTACATCCATACCACTCAATTCTTATGTATTTACATATCAAACACCTAAACTTTTACCTTCCTATCTAAATCGTTCATATCACAACAAATAAAAAAAAAATCCTTAGTTTAAATTAAAAAGAAATGAAATATGTATTTTTCATCTATAGTTGAATTAAGATGACATATACTATCAACCTTATTAATGCTACTTTTATTATAAATGATGAAAAAATAAATATGAATATTATTATTTCGGATTTGCTTACTATAATAGTAGATATGATCAATCAAAATATGATAAGATTGTGCTCGGATGCATGGCACATTGATTAGAGATAAAATGACCTATTTATAAAAAATCTCAATGGGAATACCTATCACAGTATTCATACATGAACTCAAAATAATCATATTTTAATAGTTAGATTCAAATGTGAATACTAATATTAGCTTGGGCTATGCATTTTAAAAAATGAACATTGAGCCCAGCTAATTTACGAGACAACTAGTTACGTCGAACTCGATAAGCTAACAAAATAAATTTGGTCCAATTTTGAATCGGCATTTTAGTTTAGGAGCCAACTCATTTAATACATATTACTATAAAATTCAATTGAGAATGAGATATTGGTCTGGTGGATGGACATTTCCTCCTGCACCGAAAAATCTCATCTTCGAAGCTTGGGATAAATTTGCAAAAGCTCCCAACCACAAACCCTATGAACATCATTCATCATTCTATACATCAACTTTGAATTGTCTATACTTGATGCTTTCTTGAAAATAATTGACAGCTTAAAACAGAATATATACATTACTGTTCAGGTGAGAAAAAAACTATTTATTTTCAAATTCACCCTCTTGTATATGCATTTTTATGAGGACTTTCACAAAAAGAGCCAATGCTTTGTCTTTGTTATCCTACAGGGCAAATCTGCAAAATTATGATAAATTTATTTATTTAGTCCAATACGTAAATAAAAAAGGGAGTGAGAGCAAAGCAACCAAGAGTCATTTTTCCTTACCATCGGTTCCGTACAAGGAATTGTAATGCACTTCGCTCCAGAAGCTCAGCCATAGTTCTTTAACAAAAGGTTTGGGGGAGAGAAGAAAGCAATTAGTAAAATCATGAATGAGTGAACAATTACACAAGGAAAAGCAAATAAGAAGCAATAGTTGAATTAAGTGGGAGATGTGATTTTGTTGATATAAGCCTTCTTTGGTTGGTCATGATGTTTAATTGTTGTGCTTTCCTAGGAAACTACATAACTGCAGTTATCAAGAAAAAAAACCTCCGATTTGTGGCAACATGGGACGGATATCTTATTGCGATCGGGTGAAGTGTCAAAATAGTCTCATGGCTGTTTAAATATGGGCTGTCTTTAATTCTATAGAGACTACAAAAGTATCAAATTAGTCTCCAAACTTTTTAAATTGGGGCTAAAATAGTCCTCCCTTGAGACTATTTCAGCCCATATTAAAATACTATGGGGACTAAATTGGCATTTTTAAAGACTCCGGGATTAAAATAACCCTCTCCAAATAGTCATCAGACTTTCTTGACACTTTTATATATTGCTATCAGAAAATGGACAAAATCTAATTAAAAGTAAAAAAGAATGGAAATTTTGAGAGGAAAAAATTTTATGCAGGTTCACCAAATTAACGAGTATAACCTCAAACTAAAATTTGCATAATGTATTTTTTTGGTGGGACGAAAAAATTAAATTACTAAACTTTAACAATTGCACCAAAAGACTTGGCCACATAGTGTGGCTACAAGACAGCTACAGGCCAGCGGAAGTAGCACACATGTACGGATGATGATACTGGAGTTAACCCAAACCATATAGAAAAAACAAGTATTATTACTAGAAACAAATAGATGATTATAATCACACTTGAAAGAAAAAATAAAACATACAACATGCAAACTTGCGTTATGCTAGATCCCGGGTGATGGTGGTGGGACTGTCAAAATGGCTCGTTGTTCGCGAACAGCTCGTGTTCGGCTCGTTAAGAAGCTCGTGTTTGACTCGTTCGCTAAGTTAATGAACCGAATACGAACAAAGATTTGTTCATTCGTTTTCGGCTCGTTTTGGCTCGAAATATTACTGATTAATTATATATATATATATATTCGAGGCAC